GTCCAAGACCAGCTGCTGCAGGTGCTCGTGCCCCTGCAATGCCCTGCACCCGCCCCTCTCGCAGAACCCCTCCGGCACGGCCAGCGCCTGCAGCCGCGGCGCGAGCCGCGCCAGCTGGCCGGCGGCCGCGGCCGCCAGCGGGCGGCCCAGCTCGAGCGCGACCAGCCGCGGCAGCACGCCGTGGCCGCCGCCGGCGATGGCAGAGAGGCTGACGATTAGGCCCCTGACTGAGAGGCTCTGTAGGTTTGGGCACGCGTCGGCGATCGCGTAGAGCTTTGGTGGGTCAAGAAGAAGCTTCTGGGGGATGTGGATGGCGCCACTGGCGTCGTCGAACGAATCTGTGCGTAAAGAGGGGGGGGGATGGAGAGGGGGATGTACGTGAGAGCGATGCGTCCTGTCTGGAAGGGCTTCGCACACGTCTGTGAACGTGCACACACGCAGCGCGTTCACACGCCACTACAGCAGCACAAATCGCTGCGGCCACGCCGCGCGGCTAACGTACCCGCGCACCTCCTCCCCTGCCACGACCCTTCATCGCTGTGTCAACGCCCCACCAGACGCCAAAAGCCATGGCGCTCAAAAAAACAGCATACTATTATCATATGCTGTCGGGTATAGAAAAGCACCCTAAAAGAAAAGCACCTGGTTGAAACGGCTGAACATGCCCTGCTCGACTGCCCTGCCTACGCGGACCCGCGGGCCACGCCGCGCTTCGCACCCTTGTGTGCGGACCTGCCTGCACATGCCCGCATGCGCGCCCTTGTGCGCAGTGCGGACCAGCATACATTCGGGGCGTTTGTGCACGCCTGCTTTGAACGGCGAACAGTGGCCACTTGAATCCCAGTCACACAATGCTGATGCTGCCAAGTCATATCCTGGGAGCCTGGGTGGCTCGAGGAGCGGGCGCCCCTGGACCTTGTAACAATCCTAATCCTAATCCTAAATTCCCCATCCAAGTCGGCCCGCCCCCTCACCTTCCAGCGTGCCCCGCAGCTCCAGCGCAGCCAGCCCCTCCAGCCGCACCCCCCACGCCGTCCTGAACTCGCCCCACGCCGCCGCGCAGGTGTCGCCGTGCAGCCGCAGCTCCCGAAGCCCTGCGCACCCAAGCATAGAGTAGAACAGCCGCCGCTCCGCCCCCAACTGGCTGCCGTCAGGACGCCACCCGCCGGAGCCGTTGCCGCTGTCGCAGCCATCGGCGACGGCGTCCGCCTCGGGGGCGCGCGCGTCGAGGTTTATCAGGGAGGGCAGGCCGCGGCCGAGGAGGGCGGCCTCGAGCCGCGTCAGGCGCGAGAGCGCGGGCAGCGCCGCGGCGAGCGCGGCCACCGGCTCTTCCGAGCCAAACGCCGCGCCCGCGCCGCAGCTGCCCCTGCCGGCGCCGGCCGGCAGCCAGCTGAGGCGCTCCAAGGCGGTCAGGCGCAAGAGGGAGTGCGCCGGCGCGGCCACGGGCGCGGCGCGGCGCGGCACGGACAGGTCGAGGTGTGTCAGGGTGTTTGCGGCGCGCCACAGCTCATGCAGGCCGCAGACTTCGCTGGGGCCGCCGCCGACCCCGCTGCCTGCGACGAGGACAGCCGGCGGGCTGCGGAGCCCGGGGCACGCGCGCGCTAGGCGTGCGGCGAGCCAGCCGGGCAGCGCGGCGTGTGGGGGCGCCGCGGCGGGGGCGGCGGCGGTGCTATCGGGGGCGCTGACAAGGCGGATGCTGGCGACGCGCGACCATGCGCCATCGGGCACAAATGCAAGCTGCTGCGCCAGAGCTCTCAGGTCCTGTGAAGGTGTTGCGCGTGTTTTCGCGTTTGGTGGCGCAGTGGTGCGCGGCAGCCCGAGAGGGGGGGGCGGGGACTTGGAAGAGCAGGAGGCGCCTAGAGCATCCGGCAGGAGCCCCGGACTGGGGGCGGCTGTGTGCGGTGCAGCGCGAGTCTGCTACGGGCTCACCTCTGAGCCGCCGCCACCGAGCTGGGGCTGCTTGAGGGTGGTCAGCGCCAAGCTCCCGGGCGGGCGGTTGGGGGTGGTGTCGGTGTAGATGATGACAGTTGTGGCGGTTGGGAACCGCTCCGCCAGCAGCGGCAGCTGCTCAAAGGGCAGGCCCCTGCACGGCGACCCCGGCGGCCCGGGCTGCGCGAATCTGACGGTGGAGAGCCGCGCGTCGCATATGGCGCGCAGGCGCTGGCAGGCGGCGCGGGCGTCGAGGCGCGCGGCGGGCGGCAGGCTGGAGAGCACACGCACGGCGACGTCGGCGACAGAAAGCAAATCGAGCAGCTGGGTTTCTGGTGTGTCCGGCTGGGGTTTGACTGCAAATCTGGAGTACAGTCGCTCTCTCCAAAGCCACATTGCTCCGGATCCAGCCACTGCTCAACTGCGAATTGGTCGCGATCGTGCGTTGATGTGATATTGAGCATGCGATACGATAAGCATACATACTCATCTCACCCAAATTCAGACAAGCCGGTCCTCTGAGAGCCCTTTGCAGACACCTGCTCGGCAGCGACGGTGCAGGCAGAGGCAGGTCAGTCCACCTGGTGACGCGGAAGTGACTCGGTGAGACGCGCAACAGGGAGAGCAGGATGCTCACAGGACGTCGGTTGCGGTCTGCTGCACTCCAGCGCAGATTTGCATGCCTGCAACAGCCATCAGCCCTTGGGTGCCTGATGCATTGAGGCGTTTGCTCCGCCACCCGGTTTGCTGCTGGGGCCGGTGGTGGTGGTAGTGGTGGTGGTGCCGTCCAGGGTTCATGGTTCATCATACAATGGGGTATGATCATACAAGGGCAGGCGCATAAAGGGTTACGCGCATCAAGACCAAAATGCAGGCCGCACACTGAAGCAGCCAGTGGAGGTATGGGGGTAAGGGTGCTGCTGTAGTGTCAAAGGGGGCGGCGGGGCCCACGCGAGGACGCCCGCGATGAAGGAATGGGTTGAGGGACCTGAACCCTTACATCCATGTACGTGAAAATCTGATGCTGGTTGTGGCAAGCAAAACGGAACACAGATACACTCAGACACACTTGCGATGCAAACATGCGGTGCAAGTGACGAGACGAAGCCGACCCTGGGGCGGGGCCCTGCGGGGCGGTCGGCCGGCCCAAGCGCGGCGACAAAGTGGTTATTACACGCACCAACGCGGCCGCCACAGCTGCGCGTGCGGGGCGGCCGCCGCGGCGACACGGAAGCGCAGAGCCCACCCAAATCGCGGCCACCGGCCATGTGCGCATATGCATGGCGACCCACTACTGCGGGGGCGCCCAGGCCACCCAGAACGCCTGACACACAAACCGGCGCGCCACAGACACACGCTGGCAGATTGACAGAGTCGGAGCATGTGCAGGAGGAAGTACGGGGCACGGAATTGAACAGTGGGGGTACGCTGCAGGGTGTGCTGCGCCCGCTGTGGAGCGGGGCGGCAGGAGGAGCGGCCAAGGGCGGGCCGCCTGGCATCAGCAATGAGCATGCTCGCACACGTGTGGAACAAGGGCGCGCCGGGACAGATGGTGATCCCCCTTGGGTTGAGCTTTACCAGTCGCCGTGCCCGCCGCCGCCTCGCTCGTTGCGCCTATGACGGTCCAGGTACGCAAGTCATGGCCTTTTGACACAGGTGGCTTTCTAAGCATTTTCCCGGCATGACACACAAAGTACCGGATGGCGCACTCCTGAAGCCAGGCGGCCACTTCGTGCCAGCCGTACCAGCATCAGGGGATGGGCAACGCGGCTCCGTGGTGAACGTGCCCGGTGCTTGTGAAGTGCAAGGGGCCACCTGCACACCTGCCACAGCCGTGATTATGAGCCCTGCGGCAGCGATAAACATGTTGTACGTCCTGATTTAGCCCACCCATCCATCACCATCGGGTTTGCCACCAGTGATCGAGGCGGCCAGCGACACGGGTGACTGGCCCGCGCAGGTCGTCTGATGCTGTCGAATTCCAGGCCACACCGTAAAGATTTTGATGGCTGCAGCAGTGGCATCACCAGATGCAGCTGCAGCGCCGGCGGCTGCAGCGACAGCGCCAGCGCGAAACGTGCAGGAGGGGTATGCGGCAGGTCCGACCGTACCATGCTCATTACGCGCGCTACCGTCAGCATGATGATTGTCGGACTGCTGTGGCTGGCGAGGCCTGCGGCCGGCCAGGGCCTGGTGCCTGAGGCCAGAACTGTGGGCGCCACGTCGACGCAGCTTGCAAACCTTGTCAACAGGTTTGCCACTGCACAGAAGAAGGCCGAGCAAATTCGAGAGCGGTTCGAACGCACGAAAGTCCTGGGCATCGGCGGCTGCGGCACCAGCACCGGCCAGACCCTCTGCGCATCCACCAACGACGCCGATGCATCCGCGCTGCTGGCGGCAGCTTCCCCGGCGGAGTACTCCTCACGCGGGCGCCTGCTGGGCGATGCTTATCAGCAGGGCAACTGCAACACATGCGCGGCGGCGGCCGTGGCAGCGGCAGCCGAGGCTGCGGTGGCTGCAGCTCTGATACGCCGAGGCGCACGGCCAGACGATGTGCTCAAGGAGGTGGCGGGCGCCGTGTCGCCACAGGACTTGTATTACAATTGTGGGGCCAAGCAAGGCGAAGTGCGCACGTGCCTAAGCGGTGCAGAGCTTGGCACAATGCTCAGAGAGCTCAAGGCTCGCACGACGCCGCAGGGCGGCGGCCTGCTGACAAGAGCCTGCCTCCCGCTAACCGACGTCTCAGCTCGCGGCGTCGAGGACGCCCCGCCCGACGCTTACTGCGAAGCCGCGTGCAGGGCGCACACGAAAAGCCAGCTCATTTCGCAGGGCGAGTTCACTTGGGCGAAGCTCGGCATCGGCAGCGGCGGCTTGCTGGACATCCAAAAGGCCCTGCGGCGGTCTGGCGCTGTCATAACACGGCTGGACGTCAACATTAAAGACCTCAAGTGAGTGGCAGGTTCATGCACAAGGGGCGAGGCCCCGGTGCGGGGCAAGGGTCGGAAGCTCGCGTGTGGGCCAAAAAGCACAGGCAGCAGGAGTCGGGGCCAGCACAGCAGTGCGGCTGAGGCAGTAGGGCAGCAGCATGCTTGAAGCATCAGGGCAGGTTGGGTCAGCCGGGCGCACCAGCTCAGGGACCACATGCATGCCGCACCATATGGTACCACAAGGCATGCAAGTCTAGAGCAGGGGTGTATGCCTGCTGAGATACCAAACAAATAGCACAAGCACGAAAGCAGGTAGGGCCACGAGTGTTACCTGGAGGTGTGGCTAGCTGCTCATTAGCAGAGCCAGCCAGACGCCTGGCGCTGATCAGATTCCTAAACTATGAAAACATGGACACCGCAGCACAAGCATGCGCGCGAGGGCATGCACGCATACATGTACACACACCACACACACGCACACACACACGTACACACATGCACCTATACACACACAAAAAAAACCATGCATGCTGGCATGCATTCACACACATTCATGCAGGGGTTATTACGTGCAAGTCGACAGCAAGCTTCGCGCCTACACCCCAGTGACTGCTGGCGAGGTTGTACCTCATGCTGTGGTGCTGGTTGGGTGAGCAGGGAGAACGAACTAGCGCACGCACCAGCGTGGAGAGCGTGCCATGTTGGAAGACACCAGCCAGCCTGTGCTTTGCCCAACCAGCTGGCTGCATGCAGCCAGCGTCTGCACGCATATGGCAGGAACTCCTTGCTGTTCGCTCTTGACACAGAGCCCAACCTGCGCGTGTGCTTGCTGCCCGCCCCTAACAACCATCGCCCTGCAGCTACGACAACACAAGGCAGCAATGGCAGCTGCGCAACTCATGGGGCGCAGACTGGGCGGATGCCGGCCACTTCTACGTGCCGTACAATGTCCCCGCCAGCTCTGGGTTTCTTGATCCCTCAAACACATTTGAGCTGACGTGGAAACCCACAGCGGCCACTGTAGCTTTTGACCGCTATCCCATCAACACCCGGCTGCCAAGCGGCTGCTTTACACACGCGGTGCGGCAGCGGATGGACTCACACGATCAGCCGTGGTTGCTATTGCGCGTCCATGCAATGTTTGTCTGCGTGACGTGACACGAACGTACATGCAGACACACTGAACTTGTGCATGGCTGTATACTTGTGCGCAGTTGCCTCATACGTCATTGCATGCACGCACGTGCGCGCGCGCACGCACACACATGCGCTCGCGCGCGCGCACACACACACACACACACACACACACACACACAAACACATACACACACACACACGCGCGCACACACACACGCGCGCGCGCGCACACGCTCTCACACACGTACGGATGCACACGCACAGACCCGCACTGTGCGTGCGTGTGGCCACACACATGCGTGCACAAAGCGTGCTTATGTGCATGCAAGCCCGCCCACACACAGACCTTCACCTGCACACACACTAACGCGTGCACGTGCATGCACGCAGAATTCTCACACACGGCTGTGCGGCGTGCGGGTGCCTGCACGCACAAAAGTCACACGCAATGTGCATGCATGTACGCACACACGCACCGCATGTGTGTGGCACACATGCGATGTGTGTGGCACACACGTCACCGCACTCAAATTCACGTACGCACACGCACATGCCCGCCCACCCGCCCGCCTGCCCACCCGCACGTACACACACGCAAGCCCACGTGCACGACATTCGTTCTCACATACCTTGCATATGTTGCTTGGCAAACTTGCAGGGAAGGCCGGGCGAGTACTTGGCCGACGTGGCAGTTGCAAACGAGATCAGACTTGACGACCTCATTCTGCAAAACAAGGACGTGATCAGCAACATCAGGCTGCCCATCAAGGGACAAAGACTGCGCATTTGCAGGGATGGGAACAATGCCGCCGAGCCTGCCCGCCCAGCAGCAGGTGAGCATCAGTATCAAAGCACGTGATTGTCTTGTGGTTTATACATACACCAGTGTGCCCCGTGCGACGCCTTAGAGAGGGGCCTGTGCTCGATGGTGTGCGTGCGTGTGGTTCATATGTCTGCTGCCATGCATACTGTGAGTGGGAATGGCGGGAAGTGTGATGGTGGGAATGGCAGGAGGTGTGTTTCTGAGTACAGGTGTGCTTGCACCACCCAGTGGCCCACTCCGGGAGTGTGCATGTGACAGTGTGAGCATGTACCCGTCGGGACGCACACATATGTGCTGCGAGCAAGCGCGGCGGCACACGGGCAGGTGAAAGCAGATTGGCGGCTGGTCTGCGGGTGCACTTGCTGGCGTGACCGGCCACCCCGGCTGAATATGCGTTGGGGCGTAACTACTCCTCACAATACCCATGAATGTGGTGGATGCAGCGGGGTGGTTGGTTGCTGCGCCTGTGCAGCTGAGGGGTTGTCTGAGGTCGTGAGAAAGTGGTGGACCTGTTGCGTCGAGTGTTTGCACGCACGCACTTGCACATGTATACATGCACAACCCCAACTGCAGTCGCTTCCTTGCTTGCACACGCAGGGCTAGCCGTGCCAATGCACCGAGGCTGCTTTGACCACATGGGAGTGAAAATGGCCCTTGGCGCAACAAAGCTGGGGGCTGACAAGCGCATGACTGTGCCCTCGTGCGCTGTCCTGGCCGCCACGGCAGGCAAACGCTATGCGGCCATCCAATCTGGCAGTGAGTGCTGGGGCAGCGATGCAGACCAGGCGGGGATCGCAGAAGCAGGCATAAGCTCGGGCACTTGTGATCGTCCTTGCTCAGGCAACGACCTGAGCGGATGCGGCGGCAGCTCAGCCATGGATATTTACCAGCTTGAGACCCCCGATGGCAGTTGCCAAGTCCGAATCAGGCCCATGGTGACGCCGGCAATCCTGAACCTGGGAGAGGTGCAGTTATACAACAAGCGCGGCGTGCAGGTGCCTCCAGCTGCCCTGCAATTCCAGCAGAGCACAGTTTGGCGCGAGTTCGGCACACCGATGGTTGCGCAGTTCTGCAATGACGGGGACGTCAGCGGCAAAAACACCAACATGTGCCATTGCGACGACATCGACCCCAACCCCACTTTGGCCATTGGGTACGACTGCGCCGTGGGCTTGTCTAAGATTGTGGTCATCAACAGGCGCGGCTGGGAGAACAGAATCACCAGGTTCGCAGTCGACGTCATCAATGCGAAAGGTAACATCACTCAGACTATCCCATTCACTGACAGTGCCTCAAGCTACACATTCCCTATAAGTGGTAAGAATGTGTATTTGCTGTGATTTATTGCAGTGGTGTGCGAGGGCGGGCAAAACTGTATGCGTTGGTGGTGCAATCGTTTCACGGTGCTCCACCAGGGTGAACATCATGCATGTTGGCCAGCGGCCAAAGATGTGGTCTTGCTCATTTTTGGCCTGTGCACATCATACATCTATTTCCGCCGTTCCATGCGGACCACTTGCATCCAACTGCAACCGTCATCACCAACTAGGCAAGCCTGCCCGTCCAGCTGCCACCCCAGCAACCCGCCCAGCAGCAGGTGAGCATCAGCGTCTCATATGCAGCATCTGATTGTTCATTGTTTCAAAGAAACACTTGCACACCCGCTGCAACGCTTTGTGCAAGAGGGGCCTGTTGTCCACACTGTGTGTGTGGTCAAGTGTCTGCCATGCAAGTGGGAATGGTGAAGGTGCTTTTTCGTCTACAGCTGGGCTTGCACCACCCAGTGGAGTGTGTACGTGCAAGAGTGTGAGCATGTACCTGTCTGAGCGCACACATAAGGTGCAACCAAGCGGCGCGGCAGCTGGGCAGGCATAAACTGCTATTGTGCCTGCGACTATGAGGGAGTGCTTGAGACAATGAGCAAGTGTGGACCTGTTGATTTGATGGGTGCTCGCACACACCCACGCTCACGAGCATGCGCAACCCCAACTGCAGTCGCTTCCTTGCTTGCACACGCAGGGCTAGCTGTGCCAATGCACCGAGGCTGCTTCGACCACATGGCAGTGAGAAAGGCCCTTGGCGCAACAAAGCTGGGGGCCGACAAGCGCATGACTGTGCCCTCGTGCGCCTTCCTGGCCGCCACGGCAGGCAAACGCTATGCGGCCATCCAATCTGGCAGTGAGTGCTGGGGCAGCGATGCAGACGAGGCGGACATCACAGGAGGAGACATGAGCGCGGGCAACTGTGACCGTCCTTGCTCAGGCAACGGTCTGAGCGGATGCGGTGGCAGCTCAGCCATGGATATTTACCAGCTTGAAACCCCCGATGGCAGTTGCCAAGTCCGAATCAGGCCCAGGGCGATCTCAGCAATCCTGAATCTGGGAGAGGTGCAGTTATATAACAAGCGCGGCGTGCAGGTGCCTCCAGCTGCCCTGCAATTCCAGCAGAGCACAGTTTGGCGCGAGTTCGGCATATCAATGGTTGCGCAGTTCTGCAATGACGGGGACGTCAGCGGCAAAAGCACCAGCATATGCCATTGCGACCAGAACGACCCCAACCCCACATTGGCCATTGGGTACGACTGCGCCGTGGGCTTGTCTAAGATTGTGGTCTTCAATAGGCGCGGCGCGGAGGACAGAATCACCGCGTTCGCAGTCGACGTCATCAATGCGGCAGGCGACATCACTCAGACTATCCCATTCACTGGCATTGCCTCAAGCTACACATTCCCTATAAGTGGTGAGAATGTGCATTCGCCGTGGTGGATCGCAGACGTGTGTAAGGGCGGGCAAAACTTTGTGCGTCGGTGGTGCAGCCTGCTGTCCAGCGCCCCGGCCGGTCAAAAGGGGGGGGGAGGGCGTGCTCATTTCTCATCCAAGTGCATGCATATGCATGAAACTTCTCAGAAGGTTCTGAGTCTGCCGCTTCGTGCGGACCGCTTGGGTCCAGCTGCAACCAACTAATCCAAAGCAAATCGCCTGCGCCGCCAAACGCCAATGCCGCAAACAGGCCGAAGATAATGGAGTTCTGGGCTGCGTCATTGGCAAAGACGGCGGTGTTCAAGGCAAGCAATCCAAAGACACCGGCGGTGTACTAGCAGCTGTGCGACACGGCACGTGCATGGGGTATACCTGCAAATTCACGTGTACCGCCCAAGCCTCCACGTGCACGTGTCCGCGGGCGTTTGCGTGTGCTGCTTGACTCATCGCCCTGCTGGCCCCGCCTTCTCTAGGCGCCGCTCTCAAGCGCAATTCCATTGCTGCCAATTTTTCAACCGACCATCCCTGCCCCTCAGGGGCGAGGCTTGTTTCCACCCAATGCATAGAGCTGCCGAATCAAGTCACGCATATACAGCCGCGTTGCGTCCCCCTTGCTGCAACCTATAAGGAGCAATTCTGACCCGAGTGAGCCGTGCGGCGTCGCCGCCGCGCGCCGGCCCCATGATATGATATCCCGCCGCTGCGTGGGCTGCCGCACTGATTAGTTCATGAACCAGCCTGCCAGAGTCTGCTTGGCCTGCACGATAGCTTCCTTGCGTGGCGCGTGTCGAGAGACTTTTGAGATGACGCGCCGACTGAGCGTCACGGAGAGGTCGCCGAGTCAGTACTTCATTCCTGCGGCGTGACCGTTGATGATACTACTGGGGTTGTTACAATACCCGCGGTTGCCCCGCTTCTGGAGCCATCTATCGAATCTCATAGGGTTGCACTTCAAGCCATCAACCGTTTGTCGGTGTGATTCGCGAGGCCCCTGTCCACGATTCTCGAAGGGATGAGTCACACCTTCGGCCGGCGCGCACATGCCTTGTAATCACACTTGCCACAGCCCAGCGCACGACGCACATGCGTTGCATCTGTCTAGCACTGCAGAGTATGCAAGTTTGCTGTTTGGTTGAAAACAGGCGGGCCTTGGAGACATACACACACACTCGCAAGCGCACCCTTGCATGTAACACGCTCTTCACATCATCCCATCTCGTCTTTGACCGTTTTTTTCAAGGCAACCGAGCAGTAGCAGCTCAGCCCCGCCAACCCCCGTCAACCCCAGCACCAATGGGTGGTTCGGGCCACCTGCTGCGGGACCCTTCCAGGGCCGCAGAGCTAGCCAAGCCAGTAGGCATGGAGCTGTCGTTTCCCGCTGGTTCCCGTTCTTCTCTGCCTACCTGGCAACCCTGCGTCGCTTAGCCGCCAAAAACACAACTCCAAGTGGCGGCCATGGGAACCTTCCATAACCAGGAGCAGGCTGCCTAGTCCTCGCCCAGCCAGCTGCCGTTGGTTTCAAAGCAACGCTGGTGAGGGGTCACGCAGCGACAGCACAGGGCGGCTCCGGCTCACTTCTTGATGCGAGCAACAGCCATCAGTCCCTGGGTGCCTGATGCATTGAGGCTGTTCATCCAGCAGCCAAGTGGTGGTTTCTGCTGCTGCTGGTGGTGATGGCGTGACGCACGGCATGGCGAAGCTCGTCTGTGGGCAGGGCATTCCTGATACAAGAGCTCTCTTGCAAGAGTGCACACCTCCCTTCTCCCCCTTCATCTTGAGGTGGAGTATGATTACAAAAGGGTACTCACATCAAAGGATACTCGCATCAAGACCAAAATGCAGGCCGCACACTTGAGCGGCCGGGGAAGGTATGGGGTTGAGGGCTGCGGCTGTGGTGTCGAAGGGGACGGCGGGGGCCCAAACAAGGGCGCGCCATGAAAAGGGGATTGGGTTGAGGGACCTCACCCCTTACACCCAAGAACGCGACGATTTGGTGCTTGCCGCGGCAAGCATGACGAAACACAAATACACTCGCACACACTTGTGACGCGAACACGCGGTGCGGGTGACGAGGCCAGGCCAACCCCCGGGGCGGGGCCCTGCGGGGCGGCAAGCCGCGCCAAGCGCACCTCGAAAAGTGGTAAGCACACGCACCGACGCAGCTGCCACAGCTGCGCGTGCGGGGCCGCCGCCGCGGCAACACAAAGCGCAGAGCCCACCCAAACTGCGGCCACCACCAGACTGGGCAGGGCCGCTGGTTCGCAGAAAGCTTGTGCGCATGGTGATACCCGTCGGGGCCCCCCTTTGACATTGGACAAATACGGTGTGACGCCCCCCGCCCTCCCTGTGAGGGCCCGGCCGCCCACATGTCACATTATCACCCGTCGAAAGCACGAGCCGAGGTCAACCAAGACGTGTGTGAGGCGCGCCACAACCGCCCCGCCCGCGCGCGCACGCCGGGGCCTGCAGGGAGCCCAAGCCTGCGCGCGCGCCGGGGCGGCCCAAAAAGTGGCGCGCGGGGGGCGCGGCGCCTCCCGAGCGTTTCGTGGGTGCAGGGGAGACACTTTGAAAAAGCGTGAGAGACTCGATCGCACATCCCAGTGCAACTCCGCCGCCGCCGAAAGCTATGATACATCATGAGTAGGGAAACACTGCCGCCGTCGCAGCGAGGCGGGACGCGATTTCGGAAGCGGAGCCGGGGCCGCGTTTTGCCGTGAGGCGGCGCGGCGGCATCGGCAGCCGCGGCGCTCGCCGAGCGGCGCAACGCGGCCCTCGAGCCCTGCACCGCCGCGCGACGCGAGCATGGGCGCCGGGGGTCGGCGCCCACGCCGTGGATGCGGGGGCGTCCAGGCGCGTCTGTCGCGTTTTGCTGCTGACTTGTGCGCGCGTTTTGATTGAGAGCCGCGGGCGCCCCTGCGCCGCGGCAGGCGCAGGGGCGCCCTGAAACCTGCCTGCCACGCGGCGGCCAGGCGCCGCGGCGCCCCGCCACCGCGCGTGCATACGTACACAGAGCGTTGAGCTGACTGACCGGGAAGAAAAAGCACGGCAACGTTTCCAACTCCGGAGAGCGCAGTATGAGAGGGTTCGGGCGTGACTGCCTCGCTGCGCAGAGCGCCGCCAGTCATGAGGGCGGGCGGGCGCCGCGCGCCGCATGCCAAGCCGGCCAGCGCTGGGCAGGGAGCCGCGGCGCGCGGCGAGAAGGGCGTGCCTGTGCGCACCAAGGGCTGTGGCTGAGCGCGTGCGCGCGCTTGGGGCGAGGGGCCGCAAGGCGCGCGCACACGCGCCGTGGCGGCCGTGTGCGCATATGCATGGCGACCCACTGCGGCAGCGCCCAGGCCACCCACGGCCGCCCGTCACACAAACAGCCGCGACACAGACACACACACGCTGGCAGAAGAACTGAGTCGAAACATGTGCATGAGGAAGTAGGGGGCATGAAAATGAACAGTGGGGGTGCGATGCAGGGTGTGCGGTGCCCGCTGTGGAGCAGGCACCGCAGGAGAGCGGCAAAGGGCGGGCCGCCTGGCCGCAGCAATGGGCGTGCTCGTGCGCACTTGAAACAAGCGCGCCCTGGTTGGATAGGGATCCCGATCGGTTGAGCTTTTCCAAACGCGGCGGCCGCCGCCGCCTTGACGCGCCCACGAGAGGCAAGCCAGCTGGTAGCGCGGCGCGCGCCGCCGTGGAGCCTGCCGCGGCCCGGGACCAGGTCAAAATCTGCCCGGGTGAAAAGCTGCCGGCCCCGCCGCAGGCGCCGCATGCCCGGCAGACGCGTGTAAACGCGCGAAGCGCGGCCGCGCGGGACGCACAGCTGCGCGCCCCACGTGTGGCATGCGCATGACCGTTGAGGGCGCCGCGGCCGGCCCGACGCGCAGTAGGCTGCGGCAGCCGCGGCAGATGACAGCGCCAAATGACAGCGGCGCGCAGGGCACGGCGGCTGGCCCCCGGCTGAAGGCTCGGTTTGGAGAGAGCCGGGGGTCGGTAAGGCGCACGGGTCGAAAGGTGTGTGCGAGAGCAGTGGACTAGTTTGCGACAGACGGGGTGATTTGCGGCGCGGGGCGCTGCAGCTGCCGCGGGAGCATGCTCGCCCAAGCCAGCAGGCGGCCGCTGCCGCGCCGCCGCCGCCGCAGTGTTGCTGCAGCACCACTGGCCGTCCGCACTGTTGACACAGGTATGTATATATTTTGATGTAGGAACGTGTATGTTTTGTGGGGCTGAGGGGACCGACCGCGCTTGAGACGTCGAAACCAGGCAACAAAGTCGTTCTTCAAGAGTGCCGCCCCCGGGCGCGTCCCTCGCGCGTGTGGGGGCCAAGGGCCCGCGGCCCCGCAGGCGCCCGCGGCAGTGCCGCGGGCCCGCGGCTGCGGGCCGCGTCACAGCAGCAGCTGCCCGCCGTTGTCAAGGACAAAGTCGTCCTCAAGCAGCTCGTCAATCAGTTTGCCCATGTAACCCAGGTACGCCGCCTCGTCAAAACCGCCAGCGCCGCCAGCGCCGACGCCGGCCAGCGCCGCCGCCGCGCCGTGCATCTTCTCGAGCGGCGAGCGCCCGAGCGCCTGCCGCGACGCGATGCCCGCGATCTGGCTCGGGGTCAGCCCGGCCGCAGCGGCCTTCTGCAGCAGCATGGTGCAGACGCGCAGCACGCGCAGGCACTCGGGGCGCAGCACGAGGCCGTGCGCGGCGAGCGTCGCGGCGTCGCGCTCCGCGTCGAGCGACGCGATGTACGCGCGCGCCGCGTCGTCAAACGGCCGCTCCGCCTGCGGCCACCACTGCCACTCGAAGCTGAGGTCCTCGAAGCGGTCGGGCAGGCAGCAGCCGTGGTCAATCGGCACGAGCTCCCAGGCCCCGCCAGCGCCGCGGCGCGCGAGGATGTTGCCGCCGTTGCGGTCGGTGTTCCCGAGGCGCAGATCGAGGATCGCGATCTTGTGAACCTCGGACGCCGGGAAGTCGCTGACGCCGCGCTCCTCGCAGTCCGAGTCGGCGGCCACAAACTGCTGCAGCGACCCGACCTTTGCGCGCGGCGCGGCGGCCGGTGCGTCGGCGGCGCCGGCGGCGGCGCCGCTGCCAACCTCCAGCTGCACCATCGCCGTGGCAGGGACGCCCGCGAAGTGGCCGTGATCGAGGACGTACGCCGCGACCTCGCGCACCGCGCCCTCCCCCGGCCGCAGCCCGCGCCGCAGGCCCTCGCCCGGCGCCGCCGCCGCGTCGCCCGGCCACGCGGGCGCGCCGCCGACGAG